GCGGTGCTGCAGGCTGGGCGTTTAGGAGTTTCGAGAGCTACTCTCGAAACGAGGTTCTGACAACTCTCGAAAGAGTTTTCGGGCCACAACTCTCAAGTGGCTGTGTGGCGACGGCTCCAACTCTTGAGAACCGGGTTTCAAGAGTGGTGTGGCGAGGCCCTTTGCAACAGAGACTTGAAACTGAGACCGATTTCCTGTACTTCAACTCTTGTTCTCATCACTGGAAACGAAGGTGGACCGGCTTCATTGGCTACTACACCTTCATTCACGCGTCCGTCCCCACTGCCCTCTGGTTCTCCGAGAAAGGTATGGATATCTCTACAGTGTGCGATGCCTGCTCCCACCCTTCTTTAGAAGATTGGCTTCATCTTTGGTGGGAATGTGTCATTGCTAGAGGTTTCTGGGAATTTCTTAATACGTTATGGGCCCGAGCATACACTACTACAGTCAGTCTTCTGGAACCAGCGGCAAGGTCCCACTTGCATGGATTAAGAGATTCTGGCCGTTGATCTCTGCCATCTACGGTCAATATCGCTTTATTCGTGTGAGTGGGACCTAGCCCCCGGATATACTAGTTACAGGCAGAGAGCCTGTGCTATTTAAAAACCACCAAGCGGGCATTGGGGCCCAGATATTCAGAAGTATTCAGAAGGAGAGCTTTCTGGTCTTTACGGGTAGCAACGAGAGACAGACGTTTTCTTAACTCTAAACCTCCCCTTTCCTCTCTTATTGCCAAGTTTGTTATTATTATTATTTTTTTTTTTTGGAAAGCTTAAAAAATTATTACATACCATCATGGGGCGAGGCCAGGGACCTCACAATTCGACCTGCGTCCCGGGGTTATCCTGGCTTATTGCCAAGTTTTTTTTTGTTTTTTTTTTCCCAAGTTTAGACATTGGATAAGAAAGAAGATCACAGCAGACTGGATAAAAGCCAAACGGCACTCTGGTTCTCTGGAAATAGCTAAAGATGTCTTTGGGCCTCGCCACACCACTATCGAAACATGAATTTTCGTGAGTTCCGCATCGCCACACAGCCTATTGAAAAATACAGCTTTGAAATTCTTCGATAGGTGTCAGACATCGGAATTCAATAGCCCTATCGAACAAACTGTGAACGCCCGCCTGCAATGGCCTTCTTTTCCACAGCCTCCTTTCCGGACTATCGAAATACTGCCCACGCACGCGCTAGCCGCCACAACCCTCACGCTGACGACGCCAGTTTTTGTTTTTTTCTTTTCGATAGTCCGGTATCGAATTTCCAGAGGGCAGTGGCAATCGTGGTCTGGAAACGCGCTCATCGGAGTGGCCCATGGGACATCGGAGGGCTCCAGGCACTCCAGTAGCAATTTGCCAAGCAATTCGTAGGGAGAGGCACGGTCGCCACACAGCACTATCGAATGCGGACCCGGAATGGAGAACATTCGATACCCGTACGATTCGATAGTGCTGTCTGGCGAAAGGGGGGTTTTCTATCGAATGCAGGACTATCCAAATATTCTGACAGTTGTTGAAAAAAAAGGCATTTCGATAGTGGTGTGGGGAGGCCCTTTGAATGGAAATAAATGGTCCTCTCCATACAAATGGGCTGGTTTATCTACTGGCAGTAAATTATTCTACACTGATCTTTTATGGGATCACTCTACCAATCCCAGTTACTCATCTTCCCATCTGACAGCTCTTAGCTGAGAGGGACTGACAATGGCCACTCTTGTCAGAATTTTTATTTATTTACTTATTTATTTATTCATTTATTTATTTATTCATTTATTTATTTACTCATTTATTTATTTATGCATTTATTTTAATCAGGAATTTTAATAGAGTGAACCTGGATCACTCTTGCCACTCCACTGCTATCGTCCATTTGCGTTCTTCAGTTACCCCGGGGGGTGGTCCCACTAGCAAAGAGGATCGCCTGAATCTGGACGTGTTTGTAGAGAGGTGCAGGAAATCGAGATTGAACTGCTTTTCTGCATCTCTGCATAAAACACATCCAGATTCAGGCATTCGATCCGATCCTCTTTGGTAGTGGGACCTCGCCCCGGGCAGACTGTGGGGACCCCGGGCCCAAGTTACCGCTTTCTGTTCTTGTAAGGGACGCTGGGCCCGGTTCCCAGCAAGCGCTGCTCCCCACGAATAGAATGGAGCCATGTTGGGAAAAAAAAAGAGAAAAAAAAAAAAGAAAAAAAAAAGCAAAAGTGGCATAAGATAACGAGCACATCTTCAATGTATCTGACCATATTACGGCCGAACGTGGATGTATCTGGCGGGAGTTACATTCAAAAGTAAGTAAACGAGATCCTCGTGTGAGGATGCCGTTACGGACGAAAGCTATGGCAGCCACTTGCGTCCCGCCACGAAAGCAAAACGACAAAAAGAAAGCAAAAAAAGGGATGGAAGCTCCAAAAAAAAAAAAAAAAAAAAAAAAAAAAAGTGTGTATCGGGTCCGGAGGGAAACTAGTGCCATTCAAAAATAGACACGTTGGTGGTGGGTTCAGGGACATACATGCAATGGGGAAATTTTAGATTTTAGGGCATATACTCAGAGTAGGGCTTTGTAACTTATGTATGTGGACGTGATTCCGGCCTGGTGCATCCAGGCTTGACGGTGAAGAGGTCACATACATCGTCGGAAGTCCTCGTGTGAGGATAGCCTTAGAGGTGGGCACGTCTGGCACTTTTTTTCTTTTTTTTTCTTTTTTTTTTTGCTTTTCTATTCTCTTCTTTTTTTTTTCTTTTTGTTTTTCCTGTTTTTTTAACTTCGCTTGGGACCGGGGCCGGGTCCCACTAGCAGCGTTGAGCTACCTCAACGCCTGAATCTGGACTCTTTTGCGAAGATGTGCAGACATGGTGTTGCGTTTCCTGAACTGCACTGGACTCTTTTGCGAAGATGTGCACACATGGTGTTGCTTTTCCTGAACTGCACGTCTCCACTAACGCGTCCAGATTCAGGCGTTGAGGTAGCTCAACGCTGCCAGTGGGACTTGGCCCCCGGATTGCTGGAAAACAGGTCCAGCATCCTATCTTGGGTATCAGACTGGAAAGCAGGTGCAGTGTCCTCAGGGGCCTGGACCCATTAGCCAAGTATTCTACCACTTCGTTCAGGATTTCGATCACGTGTGGCCTCGAGTGACACAGTACGGCCGTCTGAAGTGGGACGCAAAGGGGAAACTGGGGTAGGCATATGTTGTGCCCAAGCACAAGGATGTGGCCAAGTGGCGGCCTATTTGCCCCTCGTTTCCTGAATGTGGGGTCAGGGCTAGCAGGAGGGTTTCGGCCGTTATTAACCAGATGGTTTGGGATTTGCCCATTGGGTCGCATTTTAACCTGAAAAGCACTGACCTGTTGCGAGATGGTATTCGGCGGGTTAATGCTGCTTTGAAGCAGGGCGAAGGGTGGGTGATTGCGCAATTTGCCGCATTCATCTATAATGCACGTGGTTGAGTGGGTGACGGATTTTTGGTCATCTAAAGGGATGTGTGGCGTGTTGGTTAAGAAGCTGGGTAAAGGGGGTAAACTACAGAAAGGTAAGAAGCAGGAGGGATG